TCAGCAATCTAGTTAGTAAGAATTGATCAAGTCCAAGAAAACAGTATTCAGAAAGTTGGGCATTCACAGTGTAGCTGTTAACTTTGAAGATTGGGACAATTTGTTTTTATGTATTAGAGATTATTAGCTCCTTTTGTTGGTGTCAAAGGTGAACAGCTTCATGCTTCATGAAGTCCAGTTGTTAATGTATATGACTCTTTCCCATCAGGAAATCAAAAGGATTTTTTTGGCTTCTTTTCTCTTTATGATTCTTTAGATAAGCCTGCTTTCCTTTCCACAGCTGGTGTTTCTTCCTTCAATATGTCTTCTGCATTGTTCATGTTTATATCCAACTGCAAGGGTCAGAAAATTCCTTTATTTTTAAAGGGCAGATGAGTTTTGTAAATCATCTCTGGGAGCCCAAGTTGGAGCTTTAAGAAAAAAAAAACTACTAATATATGAAGTGTTGAAGCCAAACAGTTTGGCTTTTAAATTGAAAATAAAGGTCTTCACAATGTTGCCTCATTCTCTGGAAAAATCCTACTGGGAACCATTAACAAAGTACAAATCCTTGCGTATTTTAACAATGCTTACTGTAATAATCAGAGCAGACTCAGAATCAGTTTGGAGTGAAATAACTATCCTAAAGTGACCATCCATTGCACTATTCTGTGATTTTATAAATGTTACTTTTTTTTGCATATTTGCTTATGTATGTGTAGCCTTCATTCCCTACATACCTTTTCATGTTTTTGGCATAACCCAAGATTTATATAAGTCTAATCTTACTGTTGTTGATACTGTTGAAATACTCAGTATGTACTTCATTTTGATATTTCCATTTCAAACCTAATGAAAATGGTTTTGTATATTCAAACCTAAATTATTGTTTAGGTGTTAATCATATGCATAAAAAATGACAGTCCTCAGCTGAACCTGAAGCATTTGAAACACAGAACCCAGTAGTTTCAGGGGGCATTTTAGAATAGTATATTGCTAGAGTTTGTAGGCATCTTTCTCTGCCTTCCCTTCAAAACACACACAAGTTGAAAGAGTAGTTCTGAATCTGTTTTGTTATAAATACTGAATATATTCTTAGTGTGGGTTCTTGCTTACATAGTCACAATGACTGTTGCTTTGTGCTCTGTAGGCCAGGCTTACAGTGGTGATTGTACAGAGCAATGAATGATGTTTATTTGTGCTGTACGGTTCACCACATCTGTGGGTGAGAACATGCTGGAAGATAATTGGCCTGGCAAATGATCAGACTGTGATGAAACAAGACCTTGTGTTAGGCAGAAAAATAGAATTACAAGGAGCTGTCATCCTTTGCTCCTCACTGATAGCTTCTGATGGAGTGACAGATGTTAGCTGTGGACATGATATTTAGATCTACTCTATCACACATTTCTTTAAGTTAATGCCTCAAATTAATTTACAGTTTTGACTGCTTGTGGGTTAATCTGATCCGTAATGACTGTGTTACACACTGTTTTGTAGAGCTGTGGTTGTTGGAGTTCACTCTCCTTTTTATCTTGTAATACCTGCACACTTGACTTCTGAACTGTAAATTTTCAAAATTTACCTTCAGTAAATGTTAAAGATGAATAGCTCTATCTAGAGGTAGAGGCCATGTTGCTAGGCACGGTGCAATTTTCTAGAAGTGGCAATGGTGCTGCTCCTAGATATGATCTCAGGCCTGTAAGGTTTTTAAGCTTGAAGGGATTAGAATCATGAAAAATGAGGGAACTGCAATAATTCTGTGGTGAAGTGATGGAAAAGATCACAGTTTGCATTTTTATATCTTACTTTTTTTTGTAGTTTAATTCCCTCTTACAGGGGCAAAGTGTTACAGATGAATCATAGAATCACAGAATCATAGAATTGCAAGGTTGGAAAGGACCGACAAGATCATCTAGTCCAACTGTCCTACCACTACCATTGCTACCACAAGCTACTAATCCATATCTCGTAGCTTCTCATCCAGACACCTCTTGAACACTGCCAGGGACGGTGAACTCCACCACTTCCCTGGGCAGGTTTTTCCTTATGTCTAATCTAAATCTCCTCTGGTACAACTTGTGGCCATTTCCTCTGGTCGTGTTTATTGCCTGGGAGAAGAGACCAAACCCTTCCTCATCACAACCTTCCTTCAGGAATTACAGAGTGCAGTGAGGATTCCCCCTGAGCCTCCTCTTCTCCAGACTAAAATGCTTCCTTTCCACTGCAGACTGCTATATTCTCCTTGTGGAAATAAGAAATCTCCTTTGCTGTAAGCTTAGTAACACTGACAAGAAGAATATAAGAGTCTGATTAGTCCACACAAAACCAAAAGTAACCTTGAGTGGGAAAAAAATGAAAGGACTGGAGTGAAACAGTACCTTTTGTACTGATGGTGAATTGATTTTCAGGTTGGATATTAAGGGTGGTGATACATTGGAACAGGCTGCCAAGGGAGTTGATGGAGTCACTGTCACTGGAGGTGTACAAGAAATGTGTTGATGTCGCACTGAGGGACATGGTTTAGTGTGTATGGTGAGATGAGTTGATGATTGGAGTAGATGATCTCAGTGACCTTTTCCAACCTTAATAGTACTGTGATCCTATGATCACTCATAAAGGTTGTGGCTGTGAGACTCACAGCCTGCCAATATGATGTACTTACTGTTTTTCCCTTAGCTACTCTGTGTTGGTGTAAGCAAGGAGGCAGAATAAAATCTGTATGTCCTGCTAAATCATTTTGGTGACAGAAAAGTCTTAAAACAGGGTCTGCTTTAATATTTTTTAAAAAATATCTGTGAGTGTGCCAGGCAGCTATCCACAGGGACCTGGAGAGGCTTGAGAGGTGGGCCCGTGCCAACCTCATGAAGTTCAGCAAGGTCAATTGCAAGGTCCTGCATCTGGTCTGGGACAATCTCAAGCACAAATACAGGTTGGGCATAGAATGGCTTGAGAGCAGCCCTGAGGAGAAGGATTTGGGAGTGTCAATTGAAAGATTCAACATAAGCTGGCAAGGTGAGCTTGCAGCCCAGGAGGCCAACTGTATCCTGGGTTGCATCAAGAGAAGCATGACCAGCAGGACAAGGGAGGTGATTCTGTCCCTCTACTCTGCTCTCATGAGACCCCATCAGGAGGACAGCATCCAGTTCTGGAGCCCCCAGCACAAGAAGGACATGGAGGTGTTGGAGCGAATCCAGATGAGAGCCACGAAGATGATCAGAGGGCTGGAGCACCTCCCCTGTGAGAACAGGCTGAGAGAGGTGGGGCTTTTCAGCCTGGAGAAGCTCCAGGGAGACCTTACAGGGACCTTCCAGTACCTGAAGGGCACCTACAGGAAAGCTGGGGAGGGACTTTTTATAAGGGCATGTATTGACAGGACGAGGGGAAATGGCTTTAACCTGGAAAGGGTAGATTTAGACTAGTTATCAGGAAGAAATTATTTACTGTGAGGGTGGTGAAACACTGGAACAGGTTGCCCAGAGAGGCTATGGATGCCCCCCCTCCCTGGAAGCATTCAAGACCAAGTTGGATGGGGCTGTGAGCAACCTGGTCTAGAGGGAGGTGTCCCTGCCTATAGTGGGAGAGCTGGAACCAGATAATATTAAAGGACCCTTCTAAACCAAATCATTCTATGATTCTATGGTTCTGTGAAATGGATGAACAAATTCAAATAATATAGTAGATTTGTGATACAAACCATTATGACACTTGGCTTTTGAGGGTTTTAGGTTTTGAAATAGGTTTGCAACATCTGTCACAGAGAAGGACATCTGCTAAGTGCCAAAGTTATCCTGTGGATTTCTGAGGTAGATGTAAGTATATCCATATGCTGTGGCTTAACCTAGCAGGCAGCTGAGCACCAACAAACCCATTCACTTTTTCCCCACAGGAGTGAGGGAGAAAAATATCAGAGAAAGCTAAAACTTGTGGGTTGATATAAAGACAGTTTAACAGGACAGAAAATGAAAGAATATAATAATAATGGTAAAAGAATATACAAAACAAAGTGATGCACAAAGTAATTGCTCACTACCCACTGACAGAAGCACAGCCAGTCCCCAAGCAGTGGCAACCCCCACACAGCTCCTCCCAGTTTTTTGTTCAGCATGACACCATTTGGTATGGGATATCCCTTCAGCCAGTTTGAATCAGCTGTCCTGGTTCTGTCCTCCCTCTGCTTCTCACTGGCAGAGCAGGACAAGAAGCTAAAAAGTCTTTGACTATCCTAAAAGTATGTGGATATTGCTTATTTTACCTTTTGAACAGATATTAAAAACAAACAAACAAAACCAAACTACAAATGTATTGCTACATTACTAGATGAGCTAAGAAAATGTAAGTTAAATAAACATTAGCATTTTTGCCTACTCTGAACTTTCTGTGACATTTCTGAGCAGACTAGATGCTTTTCAACCTTGCTGTAAGCAATCTGTAGAAAGAGGTGCCCTGTTCCATTATTTGGTTGGTTCTTGAAAAAATGTCATGCTTATATAACCACGCTGGAAAAAGAAAAGTAATAATATGGCATGGTAGCTTAAAAGCTTTTGCTGTGGGATTACAGTTGTTTTTAGCACTTGGTGGTTAAGCGTATTTTACCATTGTCTCTGAACTGATAATTCAGTATCTTGTAATTCAGTAAGTGTGATGTTTGATTGCCATGAACAATTCCTTGAAGAGCACTGCCAATTTAATCTGTTTCTATATTAACTGTAATGTTTTTTGTTTTCTTTGTTGTTTTGTGCCTTGACTGACAGCAATATATATGATAAACATATACCAACATGGTTTATACATAGAAAATAGTAAACAGCACATAGTTAGTAGAAAACTTGGTGGAACAAATCTTGAATGTAGAAGGCTCTGCTGATGCTCTGTTTTGCTGCTGAATTCAGACTGTTCCATTTGCCATAAGTAAACCATTTATATAATTAAGAGATTATCATTAGATGATTTTCTCTCTAATAATTTTTAACAATAAATCTTTTTTTTCTCCTTCCCCTCTTCCATCACATCCATAACAGCTAGCCGATGGCGGAGCCTCTTCTCTACACCTGTCTCCTTGGCTTTCCCCTATAGTCCTGTTGCAAGACTCACCCCATATACCAATGGCTTTAATAGTCCCAGCTTCTCTAAAACCTCCAGTAAAGCAATACTAACACCTGAACGGACAGGTAATGCTTATCCTTTTGTTCATTTATGGTTCTCTTACAAGATTGCTTAATTCAATCTAAACTTGCTAGCATTTAACAACAATGTACTGTTCAGATGATTTTATAAACTTTCATCTCAGAGGGATTTTTTCATTAAAAAGACCTAAAATTTTGCTACTAATAGCTACTGGTATAAGTTATTTTCTTTGTTACATAGTGTGTTGTAGGCAAGCAATGCTCCTAAGCAGCTTGGCTCTCCGTAATGGTTAACCTCACTTCATAATTGCTGCAGTATCAGTTTAAGCCATCTCTAGCTTTGCCCTTTACTACTTATTTCTATCCCACTGTGCTCCTTCTTTATGTGTACAAAAACATTTGTGCAGCTGTGTAATGACTTTGCATGGGCAATTTACCTGTTGTAAAATAGCCTTCAGAAACAAGGCTGTTTTCCATCTGGCGTCATTACTACTATCACTGATTTTCAGAGGACACAGGTATTTTAGGAAAAATATAAAATTTCAGTGGGTTTTTCCTTCTTCAGTACAGGTATCAGGATTCAATCTGTGTCTGCTGTTAAGCTGAAGTGGCAGTGGAGAAAATAATCCTCTGGGGAAGAAGCATTAATATTTTATTGCTGGCAATAGCAGATGTGATCTGAGGAAGCCAGCAGTGCTGACACAGTGCCACAATGCTCTATACTCAATTTTCTTTACCAGTGCAGAGAGCCCTGTTAAGGAATATGAGTGCTGTGGGTGAGATAATGCCTTGTGTAGGTGTCTGTGTGTGTAAGCTGGATGTCTGAGCTGCCCTGTTTAGTGGGATGCAGCTTAGTTCCTAACCAGAAGCATCTAGTTCAGTTTCAGGTGCCCTCACATGTCTTATCTAGCTTCCAACTGCTGATCCAAAAGAGCACAGCTGTTACAAAACCTAAAAGACCACTACAACTTGAAAATTTAAAAAGGCAAACACATTTACCACTTATATCCTTCCAAAGCAAAGTAATTCCCTGCATGTGCTTTTCTGTTGGAGTTATTTTTAGAGAACAGCTGAATTGATGGTAAATTTTGGATAGATGCTGTGCTGGAGGATACAAACACATATGTGATACAAGCACTGCTTAAGAGCTTTCACCACAGTGGTTTCATCCTGTGAGCCTCTGGTGGTTCAAAGGATATAAGAAGTAATTTGCTTTTTTATTTGAAGAATTTTTCTTTAATTTGAGCAAATGCCAGCTTGTACAAGTGATTGTAGTATAGTTTATACTTTCCCTACTTCACAGGAAAAACTATAATCTAGAGTACTCCCTGAAAGCTCTGTGAAGGACGTGTTGTTTGCTCTTTTGTTTCATAATGCCTATTTCAGTCTTAATTGCTATGATCATTTATTTCTCTGACGATTACAAACAATTAAAAAGAATAATAAAATTTAAGTAAATAACTACTGTACAGAATCTGAGTACTGAGCTTAAACACAAGACATACGCACACTTGCTTTTCAGAAAAGGATAGGGAGAACCACAATATCATAAGAAGGATTCAAATGCAGGTAGATTTAGAGTACTCTAACAAGTCTATGCTATCAGAACTGAACGGATTAAATTATTCATTGTCTGGGCTATGCAAAGCTATTTTGGGAACATGCAGAGGAATTTATGATCCATTATTACTCCTACTTCTCATGAGTTTCTGATGCCTTTGCTGATTCTTGCTGCGCTGGGCTATACTTCCGAAAGCTTTTTGTTTCTTACATAAGAATAATTTAAGTTATTGTAACATAAAGAGCAGTAACTCTGAATGAAAAATGACCAAAGATATTCACAGACTAAAGATTATGTTTTTCTGCCTAGGTTACATTTCTAGGAGTTCCCCTTTGAGCCCTCAGTCATCAATAGACAGTGAGCTGAGCACCTCAGAGCTGGAGGATGATTCTATTTCCATGGGATACAAACTGCAGGACCTCACCGATGTTCAGATTATGGCCCGTCTACAGGAAGAGAGTAGGTGGCTTCTTTCTTCTGTTTTTCAGAGGAAGATTTCACGCTGCAGTCTAAGCTGCTCCTGCCTTGTCTCAGTCAATTGGATCTTTACTGAAAGCTGTCACCTCTTCAACAGCAGATGGAAAAACTCTTTATCTGAGAAAGCGTACATAATATTGGCTTCAGGTTAATGGTACTGGATGTTTCAAACTTGATTCTTATTTATTGCTGAAACACAATTAGGAGCTCCATATCCACTGAATACATTTTTATTTGTCTGTTTTATAGTGTCTAATGGTATTATTTAAATAAAGCACAATAAAGGGTATACAGTATCTTCCATATGAGGAAAGGCTGAGTGACCTGGGTCTGTTCAGCCTTAAAAAAAGAAGACTCAGAGGGGTTCTGATCGGTGTCTATAAATATCTAAGGTGTGGGAGGCAAAGGGATGAGGACAGACTCTTTTCAGTGATACACGGCAACAGAACAAGGGGAAATGGCCACAGAATGAAGCATAAGATGTTCAGCAGAAGTGTGCATAAGAACAACACTGTAAGGGTGACAGAACACTGAAACAGTCTGACCAGAGAGGTTGTGGAGTCTCCTTTGCTGACATTCAAGACCCCTTGGACACTTGCCTGTGCAGCCTGCTCTAGGGAGCCTGTTTTGGCAGGGGGAGGTGTCTTTGATTGGAAGGGACCTTTAAAGATCGTCAGTTCTGTGGTACTGTGGTTATCATTGTACATATGTGTTGTGAGAAAGGAAAAGACCTAAGCAGTGCTCATTTTTTTTGCACCTATTTTGTTTTTCTAAATTTTATAAATGAATTCTCCTTACAATTCCTCAGACACTTAAAGGCAGCATTTTGATGTGAGACCTGTGATTGTGCACAAATCTGACCCAGAAGGCTTGTTTGACATATATTATAGAATCACAGAATCACAAGGTTGGAAACAACCCACAAGATCATCTAGTCCAACCATCCTTCTACTATCACTTCTACCAGAAGCCTCTAAACCGTATCTCATAGCTCCTCATCCATTCGCCTTTTGAACACTGTCAGGGACCGTGACACCACCACCTCCCTGGGCAGCCACTCCAGTGCCTGACCACTCTCGTAGAGTAAAAGTTTTTCCTTATGTCTAAACTAAACCTCCTCTGGTACAACTTGCGGCCATTTCCTTGGGTCCTGTTTGTTGTCTGGGAGAAGAGGCCAAACCCCTCCTCATCACAGCCTCCCTTCAGGAAGTTGTAGAGTGCGGTCTATAATAGACTCCCACCAAGATGTTGCCCCTACAGGCCTTCCCCTGATTCTTACCCCCAGACACTCAACTTTATCATTCCCAACCCCAAGCTCTTCAACATCAAAATAGTCTTTAATATAAAGGGCCACTCCACCACCCTTCCTTTCTCGTCTATCCCTTCTGAAGAGCTTGTAACATCTATCACAAACTCCAGAGGTGTTTTGCTGATGGCAACTAGAACATTTTTAGCCTGGCGCACAATTGCTTCTAACTCCTCCTGCTCATTGCCCATGCTGAGTGCATTGGTGTAGACGCACTTCAGCCGAGTTGTCTGTCTCACACCCAGATCAAGATCATTTCCCTGGGCTCGTATCCCATCATCAATGTTTTGTCCCCTTCCCCTGTCATAGCTAGTTTGAAGCTCTTTCGATAAGCCCCATTAGCTCCTGTGCTAGGATTCATTGCCCCCTTTGAGATAGGTGGGTTCTGTTAACGGATAACAGGCCAGGGGCTGAGTAAAGTGCCCCATGATCAAAGAACCCCAAGTTTCTGCTTTGACACCAGACTCTGAGCCATGTATTCATTGCTTGTGCTTTCAATAAGCCCACTCCGTGTCCCTCTCTGCCCCTGAAGGTATAGAACAAAAGATCACTTGTGCTCCTGCTTCTCGAACTAAACAGCTTAAACCCCTGAAATGTCTTTTCATAGTTGGCAGGCTTCTCTGAGCAATTTCATCACTGCCCCCCTGAACTATGAGCAAAGGAAAATAATCAGTGGACCTAACCAGCTTTGGTGGTTTCCTGGTTATGTCCCTGACCCGGGCCCCAGAAGGCAGCACACTTCCTGGCAGTTCAGGTCCAATCTGTATATGGGGCCCTCCGTTCCTCCGAGAAGAGAGTCACCCACTACAACCACCCTTCTTTCTTTCCTGATAGAGGCAGTCTCAAGGCATGGAGGTGACCACCTTGCCTTAGGCTCCCTCGTAGGCAGATCCTCCATTGCCTCCCCACTCGCCTCCCCTTCAATTTCTAGCACCTATGGCTTAGAGGGACCTGGGGAAGCGAGGTAGGCAGACAGGGAGGGCTCCGTGACTCCAAGTCAGGACTCTGTTCCAATCCTCAACAGTCAGGTCTGTCTGACTGTGACGGGACAGGGGCTCCACCTCTTTTCTGGGCGCGTCTCCCATGTCACCCTTCCCTCCAGCATGCCGGCAAGTCACTTCACCAGTCATCTCCTGCTCGCACTCCCTGATGGTCCTTAGCCTCTGGACTTCCTCCTTGAGCTCCACCACCAGGCTGAGCAGCTCATCCACCTGCTCACATGTCATACAGGTGGAATCCCTGCCCTCTCCCCAGTCAGCAGCAGGGTCAGGCACTCCCTGCAACTGGAGACCTGAACTGCCACATTCTGGGCAGTCTTTCCTTGCCACGGTCGTCTTGGAATAAGCCTGCTGTCTGGTGGAGACTGTGTTTAGGCCTGCAGTCTCAGAGACTGCCAAGAGAAATGCCGGTCTCTTGAGCAAGGAGGAACAGTACTTACAGTCCTCTTGACCCACCTCTCACACCCACAGCTGCAGTACCATGTGGGCAGCGTGAGCTGTGCTTACTGAGCCTCCCCTTTCTCAGTGGGCAGCAGCAATGGTTACTGACCAGAGGTGCTCTGTGCTTCTGCTCTTTCCGAAGCTATTTAAAGCTTATTATCAGGTGTGAACGTTAAGAGCAGGTGATGACGCGTTCATAAGGAGTTTAAACTGTGCCGCTAATGTACCAGGTCCCCCTCCCTGCTGGTTGAGGAGGCCACCCACAAGCTACCTGCTGCCCCGCATAAGCACAGCACTGTTGCTGGCTTCAAAAAGCCTTAAAAAAAAGCTTTTTTGTTGTCTTTTTTATTCCAGATCCCCTGCTCAGTGCGGTCTTACCTGCTCTGAAGCTAGTCTCCATAGCAAATGGAGTATTATATTTTGATGTGATGGTAGTTTAGAAGATAACTTTATTCAGAAGTAAATGCCATTAGGCATAGAAATCACTCAAACAATGCATCTCACTTTCTACCAGTGCCAAATGAGATGTAAAAGGGGATATGATGAGATAAAAAACAAGGGAATTTCAGAAGTGATGCATGAATTACAATGCAAAATATGAAGTGACTACTAAGGGAATCAGGCTTGTTTAGCTTGGAGAAGAGAAGGCTCCGGAGAGACCTTATTGTGGCCTTCCAGTACTTGAAGGGAGCATATAAACAGGAGAGGGAACAGCTGTTTACATGGGTGGATAGTCATAGGACAAAGGGGAATCATTTTAAACTAAGATGGGAGATTTAGGTTAGATATTAGGAGAAAGTTTTTAACTCAGAGGGTGGTGACACACTGGAACAGGTTGCCCAAGGAGGTTGTGGATGCCCCATCCCTGGAGACATTCAACGCCAGGCTGGATGTGGTCTGGGCAGCCTGGTCTAGTGGTTGGCGACCCTGCACATAGCAGAGGGCTTAAACCAAATGGTCATTGTGATCCTTTTCAACCCAGGCCATTCTGTGATTACATGAAATGAAGAAATTGGAGCAAGAAGTTGGAGATCCAGTCTGGCTCGAGCCACTGGACTTGTTAGCATTTGAGCTTGCTATGAGTCTGTTAGTACTAGTTACATTCAGCAGAGAAATTTTGCAAACATATCACTGAATTCTCAACTGGTCAATGTGTGTAATCACAGCTCAGAAAATTTCTGATATTGTTTGCAAGATATAAGAATGAAGATAAATTAGTTTTGTGACTACCAGAGGTGAAAAACGTGTTGTGTAAATGCTGTGCTGTCCTCCTTCAGAGTGGTGTTTAAAAAAAGTCTTCAGGTGCTTAGCTCTGATAAATCAGGTCATTCATAAACTGGAAAGAGAAATGCTATTTTTCTTCTAATCTACTTCCTGTGTAATCACTGTATCTCATTCTTCTCCCAGCAATCAGTATGCAGTCTTTGAACACATGACAGTTGTTGTCCACTTAATCCTGCAGAAAGTGGTAGTATTATACGTGCACATAGGCACACACTCTTCACATGCACAAATAATCTCCTACTGCAGAGGGGAAAAAAAAAAGCAGGTATGTTAAGAAATTTTCTTTATGGTAGCCAAGACACTTGTTGAAGCTGAAAGCTTTGTATAAATTTAAGGAAGCTATTGTTCACAGCCATTTGCAGAATTGCTCAGGTGCAGGAAGTGCAAAGCTTCACAGAATCACAGAATTGTAGGGGTTGGAAGGGACCTCCAGAGATCATCGAGTCCAACCCCCTTCCTGTGTTGGCTGCTCTGCAGCAGGAAAAGAAGGAAGTGGAAGGACTGTGGATGCTTTCCCTTCACTTCACTTGGAGCAAACCTGTAGAGCTAATAGTGGGATAGTTCTCAACACCTGTCGTTTTGAGAAGGGGATGTTAAAATGCGTGTGTATGAAATGTAACAATGTCACCTTTGAGCCTTTTCTTTGAAATTAGGTTCTAGCAGGATTTCACCGTGGTCAAGGAGGTTAAAGAGCAAGAATATTTACATGGATTATATGTTAAGGAATGTCATCAGTTTTTTTGCAGGAAAATAAAAGTACAGTAATAAGTACAATAGTAAAAGTATAGTAATAAGTATAATAAATATAATAATTTGGAAAACAAATAGAGTGAGTGTTGATTCCTCTAATTTAAAAAAGTTGAATACTTAATATTTGTGTCATCTTTTTCACTGGCAGAGAAATAGGCAGCTCCTTAGGGTAATTCATATTATTTGAAGAGAAACATGAGACATGTTCACACAACACAATTTGGAGATGCTTGTATTCTCTTTCTCATTTCTTTTTTAAAAAATGTTATTAAAAAGAGATCTCATCGGAAGTAATTCAGGCTTAGATACCTGAAAGGTAGACACCAATATTTAGATCTGAATCCTATCTCAGATCTTCAGCTTGGTTAGAGTGTAAATCCAGTTCCTGCTGTCAGATCATGTGTCCATGTACTTGCCAAGTCTGAAAGATTGTGTGTTAAGTGTTGATCAGTTAACAGAAGCTGAATCATCCTTCTCTTGGAATTTACAGGCCTTAGACAAGATTATGCTTCGACTTCAGCATCAGCGTCAAGACACAGTTCAAGCGTGTCACTACATTTGGGAAAAAAGGGGACGTGCAGCGACCAGGAGTATGATCGCTACAGCCTTGAGGATGAGGAAGAATTTGACCATCTCCCTCCCCCACAGCCACGGCTCACACGCTGCTCCCCATTCCAGAGAGGGATCCCACACTCACAGACTTTCTCCAGTATTCGGGACTGCAGGAGAAGCCCTACTTCCCAGCACTTTCCTTCAAGTACTTACCAGCAGCCCTACTATTCTCCTCAAGTCCAAACTCCAGAACAGCAACCAAATAGGATGAATGGAGGTGGGTTGCATGCTTTTGTTATGCCTCTCCTCTGTTCAAAGTGCCAGTTCTAAAGATCAGGTTGTGTAAACTGTCTGAAAAGTGTTTGATTTATGATCAGTTCTTGAGTTGCAACAATAGATTTAAATCTGTGCAAATGATTGTTTTGTTAGAGGAATGTTGTAATTAGATAATTTGTAATTTGACTCAGTCATGAAAGCTATTAACTTAGTTTTAAAATGTTGCAACTATGAGTACCTGTGAAGAGAGAAGAAACAGGGAAAAGAGCATCTTTTAGCAGGCCATTGTTTGTCTGGAAAGGCTGATCAGGATTTTGAGCCTGGGCTGTGTATGTCCATCATGGATATGGCAAGGTAGAGAGAAGGATTTTCAGATTTTCATTCCTAATAACATTCTCTTTCTTATTTCCCAACTTTTCCATGAATGCAGCTTTGTTGTAAATTCATGATGTGTGCTTATGATAAAAGTCAGTGTTCTGCTCTTGTTCCAAGTCTGGTAGGGCAGGCTGCTGAGGTAGTCAGAGATAAGGTTGTACCCAGTCTACCCTGAGCCATTGCTGCTTTATGCGCTGCATTTGAGATATATTTCAGAGTCCAAAATATTTTTCTCTTACTGCTTTTTCAGGAATTAAGTTGTTTTTGCTATTATATTCCTTTTCCTTTCTCATTATGATGATAATTTTCTTCCTACTGCTGCATCCTACTTTTTGTTCCTTCAGTTCAAGTCCCCAAGATACTTCAGGACAGTTAGTTTTCAGTCAAGGTTTTGTTTGTAACCTTACAGGTTACAGCTTACCCTTGGGCAAGAAAATAAATGTGTTGTTCAAGACAGCTCCTATTTATAGTGTGCTACAGGTATGCATGGTACTTTCCTGACAAATCAGAGGTGACAGGTTGGTTCCAAGAGCACTTGCATTCAAAGTAAGACACAGCATGAAAGTATAATTGACAGGTAGCAGCCTACAAAGAAGGCTAAGGTTAGCACAGAGCACAGTGATGTGGATGTTTGCTGTTACAGCATATGTACCACATTCATTTCAATATTATTTTTCTCATCTGTGAGGAATGAGAATGGGACAGTGCTGAATAGCTTGTGGAAAATCTGTTTGGGAGATAGAAAAGAAAGTGATGGGACATTTTTGATTCTGACATATGGGCAGGATGTTGCATTGCAGTGTTTTCATATGGTTCCTAAAGTCTTTTTCAATTATTTTTCATGTCAGTAGAACTTAGAATCATAGAATCATAGAATCCTTAGAGTTTGAAGGGACCTTTAAAGGTCATCTAGTCCATCTCGCCTGCAGTGAACAGGGACATGAATAGCTCTTCCAGTTGCCCAGGGCTTCATCCAGCCTTACCTTGATTGAAAGTTTCCAGGGACGAGGCATCAATCACATCTCTCAGCAGTTTAATCACTGGATTCCCACATGAAAATCTCAGAAAGTTCTTGCAGCATACAAATACTACATGAACTTCTAATTTATTAACTGGAAAAAAATGTAAAACACTACCAATTTTATCACCTGGTTGCTTTTTTTCTCAAAAAAACTTAAGTGTTGGATTATGTGTTCGGTATTGTTTGGAAGATTGACACGTCACTGGTGTTACTCCAGTCTCTTGTTTGATGGCATGGCAGACAATTCTGTAATAGCCAGTACCATTATCTTTAGAGGCAATTTGTTTATCTCTTTAGCTTTCTCAACTTCACTCTATGACTCTATGCAGCAGTGATCAACATAAATGGAAAATGCTGATTGTGAAAAATTTGTGTTTTTGGCCTGACCTACTGGTTGGCAACCCTACCTGCAGCAGGGAGTTGGATCTAGGTGATCTTTGAGGTCCCTTTCAACCCAAGCCATTCTATGATTCTGTGTTCTGCTGGCAAACAAGGAATAAACTTTTTGCTATGTTTAAGATGTATTAGTAGTGTTATGACAGTGTCTTCTCACCAGCACTTCTCATCATATTGGCAACAATTTCATAGTCTTTCAAGAACTACAAGTTGAAATAGAGTTAGACTGCAAAAGAATTTGTTTGAATCTCAGTGCGATGGACTGCTGCACTTTCCCAAAGCTGATGAATAACGAGAATGGGATAGATAGAGAGGCTAACCTGTTATGTTACTTGCAGCTTTCAATATACATGAAAAGTATTATTCATAATTAATCAAAATTGCACTTTAAGCATGCTCTGCTGTAGTACTACTGTTACAGTATTCCCAAATCTCTTTTCCTCTACTTTCCCCTAAAGAGATTGGTTCTGTTCTTGTATATGGAGTCAATAGTCTGGCTGCTGATTCATCTGGCCGTTCACAGAGCTCAATGTAAATGCAAAGAAATCAACAAGTAAACATTGAGTTTTGGCACTCAGTCTTGACGGAAAGACAGTGTTTAGCTTTGACACAGTGACTTCCCAAAACCTATCTACGTGTTTACCTGGACTATATTTTTTTGCTCTTAAGAACAGATAGGATCAGGGGTTCTGGTTCTGTCATACTTGCTTGTAGTTTGTTTGGTGTGGTATGCTAATTGAGATACTTATTCTGAGTTTAGATCTGTACTACCTGCATTGTAAAAAAAATAACAACAGACTGAAGGGGTGATAAACTTAGAAAATGTTAATAGTTTCTAAGAGTATTTTATTGGATGCCTGATGATTAGTTTTGGTATGTTTATTGCTATGAAGCTGGGTTGGATTTCAAGAGTCCCGTGTGTCCTGATGGCCAAGAAGGCCAATGGCATCTTGAGGGGCATTAAAAGGAGCATGGCCAGCAGGTCAAGGGAGGTGATCCTCTCCCTCTACTCTGCCTCACCTGGATTATTGTATCCAGTTTTGAGCTTTCCAGTACAAAAAAAGACAGGGAGCTCCTGGAGAGATGCCACAAAAATGATAAAGGGCCTGGAGCATCTCCCCTATGAAGAAAAACTGAGCGACCTGGGTCTGTTCAGCTGTGAAAAAGGAAGACTCAAATGTGATCTTAATAATGTTTATAAATATCTTAAGTGTGAATGTCAAAGAGACATGACCAACCTCTTTTCAGTGGTTTCTGGGGACAGGACAAGGGGAAATGGCCATAAACTGGAGCATAGGAAGTTCCACACCACTATGCGAAGGAACTTCTTACTGTGATAAGGGTGACAGAGCACTGGAACAGGCTGCCCAGAGAGGTTGTGGATTCTCTTTCTCTGTAGATACTCAAGACTCGCCTGGACGCCCATTTGTGCAGGCTGCTGTAAGTGGCCTGCTTTGTAGGGGAGTTGGACTCAATGGTCTCTGGAGGTCCCACCCAGCCTCTACGATTCTGTGATTCTCCGACTCTGTGAAAACAATTGGAAAAGGTAAAATGTTTACCGAATAGACAAGGAATATCCCAGCAAGCACTCAAACACTGTATCCAGGTTCCCAGTGGCTTGGAAAAGACATCTTCTATTTACAAACCCTGTAACAGAGTTGTTTTGACAAGGCTGAGCAGTGTCTAATACTGGCCTCAAGGAAAGGGCAAGGTAAATGGGCTGTCACCTAACAGAGAGTGGCAGTCACCATGACTGAGGAGATGTAGGCGTGTGGCTTCTGGGGACAGGAGTGACTGCTTCTCTGTGCCATTTCCCTTAACCTTGCTGAAAGGGCTTGCAAAGGTTTGAACAGATAAGACTTCTGGTTCATTGCTGTAAATGCTTCCAGGCTTTTCAAGAGATGAGTCAGGAATGTTGTATTCTTAGGATGCACGTTGTATGCCCTTACACATATACTAGATTGGATCTGCTTTGCTGTCAGCTGCATTTAGGTATTGGGATGTAGGTGTCCAAATGTGAATGCACTGCCCAATTCTTCTGCCTGCATATAAGCAATTATTGTTATATGAGGTGCTCTAGACCACCCTTCTTGGCTTCACCACAGACATCTGTCAGTGTTGTTCAGATGCCTTAAACAACCCAGCATCGCTCAAATGGCACTATGTACCCATATGGAGGTCCACTAGAGCTGATGGTCTGTTTGTTTTCCAGTCACAGGATGTCATTCTAGGTAGCAGAGAGATTTCCTGTCTTGTGAGCTTAGCCCCTGTAATTTTCTGCATATACTTGGGATGAGAATGTGCTCACAGATGTTTTCCAGGTGTGTTGTGGTGAGCAGGACTAGGGAAGTAATCCTGCCTCAGTACTTGGCATTGGAGAGGCCTCATCTTGAGTACTGTGTTCAGTTTTGGGCATCTCAGTACAGAAGGGACATTGAGGTGTTGGAGCAGGTCCAAAGAAGGGCAACAAGGCTTATGAAGGGCTTGGAGAATATGTCCTACAAGGTGAGACTGAAGGAACTGGGGCTGTTTAGTCTGGAGAAGAGGAGGCTGAGGGGAGACTTTATTGCTCTCTTCCAATATCTGAAAGGTGCTTGCAGCGAGTGGGATTGGTCTCTTCTCACTGGTGACAGGTGACAGGACGAGGGGAAATGACCTTAAGTTGCACTAGGGTAAGTTTATGTTGGATATCAAGAAAAGCTTCTTTACAGAAAGAGTTGTTAAGCACTGGAATAGGCTCCCCAATTAGGTGGTTGAGTCACTGTCCCTGGATATGTTTAAAAACCATTTGGATGTGGTGCTCAGGAGCATGATTTAGCGGAGGGTTGTACTCTAACAGGGCAGTGTGGTTAGGTTGTGGTTGTCCTTGATGATCTTTAAGGTCTTTTCCAACCTGAGTGATTCTATGATTCTACAACTTTGAACTCGCAAATTGTTCTTGCCAGTGCACTTAGCAAAGCACTGCCTGTTGGTGTAATTTTGATACTCTACCACGCTTTAAATTGCCATACATCTATTTTAAAATAGCATGCAGTCTTGCTCTTCTTCTCAGGTTCTTGTTCTCCCTTTACCCCACCAGTGAACTCTCTGTGTGAATGGGACCGGTCCTATTTGCTGCAAATCCGCAACAACTGCTGCATTAAAAGGTTCCTGACAAATGCTAACATAAATTGGTAGATGCATGCAAATGTAAATGTGTTATGTTTAGA